CACATCCTTCTAGTTGCTGTATGTGGGACGCGGCCTCAGCATGGCCGGAGAAACGGTGCGTTGGTGCACGCCCGGGATCCAAACCAGAGCTGCCAGCAGCAGAGCACGTTCACCTAACCGCTAAGCCACTGGGCCGGCCCTCAATTTTTTTTTTTAATGCTCGTCATGCCCTGCTAAATTGATTTCACCATCCACTCAAGGGTCATGGCCTGCAGATTGAAAAATATTGACTTGCCCATCCAGAGCAGAAGTCAGAAAACTGGCCAAATCCTGCCTTTAGCCTTGCTTGTTTGGTTTCACCTGTTGGTTGTTTCCTGAAAATTGAATTGTATGCCTTCAGACAGGGCTCCTTTCCCTTGTACCATGTCCAACGGTCAGATACCCACCTGCTTCACACATCTGTTACTTGCCTGGCCTCTAAATGCATTTCTGTTTGGGCTGCATTTCTCCAGCTTCTAAAGGAATAGATTATGCATTTATGCATTCCATGCATGTTGACTGTGTGTCTCTCACACGTCAGTCACGTTGCAGGCACTGGGAATACAGCAGAGAGCAGACAAAAATCACTGCCTTCATGGAGTGGAGATTCTAGAAGATTCTAGAAGAGGGACACAGACAAGCCGAAAAACAAGAAGAAGAAATATATTCTTTATTAGAAGGTGATAAATTCTTTAGTGAAAATAAAGAGGAAGGAGATAGGCATGCTCTAAGATCTACCAGATTGCAGGCTTCACACCCCTTTGTGGAAACGAGGAAGCCTAATATGTTCCTACCTAACAGAGGCGCGCTGGGAGAGCACAGCCAGAATTTTCCTCAAAAGAGAGTCCCAGCCTGCCCCAGTAGGTGAACCTGACCCATCACAGCCCCAGATTACTCTACCAAAGGGCGAAGCACCAGTAACTTTAACCTAGAACATGTCAAAACCAGTCAGCCATTAAGGGGGCATTGTTTCGGGACACTGTCACGGGCACATCGGCCCTGGGGTCGGCAGCCCTTCAGATGGATTTCAGGCTTCTCCTTAACGCGGCCTTCGCAGTCCCTATCACTCCTGTCCCGCGGGATAAACGGCCACCTCATTAGCTCTGCACACATGACCCCTCTCGACCGCACTCCTGGTTACTGCGCCTGCCTTATCTCTTGCCTCTCCTCCCTCACATTTTCCGCTCCAACAAAGCCAAACACAGCACCGTGGGCGCTTTCACGCTTCTGTGCCTTTGGACACGCTGTTCCTTCTGCCTGGAAGGCCGCTGGCCTCCATCCCCGCGCGCCCCCTCCCCCTCCTCGGAGAGCTCCCATTCATCCTTCAGAACCCAGCCTGGATGTCCCCTCCTCCAGGAAACCCCCGTAGGCCCCTCGGCCCCATCTCTGTCCCCAGCACCCATCTCTGTTTCGCTTCTCTGCACGATAATTACCGATTTCTCCAAATCTCTCCCCTCCCAGACTCGGGCCTCCTCCAGAGCTAGAGTTGTGCTGGCTGCTGGCTTTGCACCTCAAAGCGCCTAGTCCCCAGATCTGAGCGACAGAGCTTGCACCGAGGCTCAGGCTGGCTCGAAAGGCCCCCATTTCTGCGCTCCGCCTCCCCCGTGGGCCTGCGGGGGCCCGCGCCCGTGCATTTCCCGTGCACGGGGCTCGCGCGGCCGCCCAGCCCCTGACATCAGTAGCCGGCGGCGCCCGGGCCGCTCGCGACTACAAGTCCCGGCACGCCCCGCCGTGGCCGCGCATGCCCAGTGGGCCGGCGTTTGAGTGGCAAGTTGTTTGTTACAGCGAACACCAGCTGCTCTCCGCGCCGGGCGCCGTGTGCCGCTGCTCCGCCAGCGCTGCCGCCCT